GGGGGTTTAGGGTTTAGGGTTTAGGGTACTTAGGAGGGCTTAGGGTTTTTGTGGGGATCTGCTTTCATTGGGATCCCTTCGAGGGCCTGGCAGCCTCCAGGTCCATCGAGTCGGAGCTCCAGGCGCACCGAGATCTCGTTGCCCGAGAAGCGGAGGCTCGAAGGGTTTCTCTGGTTCCAGGCTTTGGGCTTTGGGGTTCTCGGTGTCAGCTCGGCAAGGTGGGATTTTAGTGACCTTGGCGAAATTTGAGAGGGCGTTTGGGCTGCCACCGTAAACGGTCGATCTCGATCAGACTCGTGTCGCGAATTCGGACTCGCTGTTAGAGGAAGTTGGGTGAGCGGAATGTGTGACTATGATTATTGTCTTGCTCTCACGCCTCTTACAGGCTTCTTCCCCAGGGCTAGCCTAGGTCTTTTCACGGCGTGGTGGTCATAACACACACACAAGCAATAGTAGCTTTTTCGATTGCATGTCGCATCCAAATTCTGCAGTCGGTCAATCGCAGCTTAGAAACTGGACAAGCACAGAAGGTTTTCAGGTTTCCGACGCTATGCCCCTCAAAGAGTCGAGCCTTTCAATCACCGTGGGCGAAGGCGCGACGTCGGCTTGAAGATGCCCTAGCCGCAGAGAGGCGGCGCGCCGAGGTCGAGGCGCAGGCGCCGTTGCCCTGAAGTCGGGAGGTTCAATGCCTGTAATGGCTCTGGCTTTGGGATGTCGATTTAAAGTCTCTGGGTCTTGATTTTGGTCGGGCATTGGGTCGGCCTGGAAGCTGAAACCTCCATCAGCCCATTTCAGTCCACGGTGCCTTTGCGTATTGGGGACCGGAGCATACCGGAAATCAAAAAGCAAGAATTGCAATGAGGGCCGCCGACGTCTGGAGCAGGAGATCGAGGCGGCGGCTCTTTTTCATGGTCTTGAGGGCTGCGTAAAGTAAGCTTTCAGGGTCGTTTCGAAGTTTGTCCATACAGATGCTTCGTTGGGGCTTCGACCTGTGTTGGCATGTCTACTGCCCTGAATCTGTCAGGACCCTCATTTACAAACTTGCACGGGAAACTCAGTTGGAAACTCCAGAGGCTGAAAAGCAGCGATTGGAAGACGACCGACGCAGAAGACAGGAGGACTGCGATAGTGGTCTTGAAACCCTGGGCTTGTCATACAAGGTTTCAATTGGGCTGTTGACTGAAGGAAGAACTCGGGCAGGTAGATCTCTCATAACCAGTTCAGCTATGCCGACACCGTGATCCTGAAACATGTAAATTTCTTTCTTCACCTTCGTGTCCCAACGTCTCCCCTCGACGACTAGGAGGCGGACATGGCGATTCGCCGGGAGGAGGAGCGCCGTTTGGAGGAGGAGCTGCTGGCTGCAAGGAGGCCCAGCAGAGCCGCTGTCTTTTGGGTGGCCGACGTGCCTGGTTGCTAGCTCGAAGTCGCATCGGATCGCAAGAAACCTCGTGTACAAGTAGGATTTTAAGCTGGCAGGGTCAGAGACAAACGAGTTTTCGTCTCTGACACTGGACCTACACACCATCCCAAAGCCTTGTCTTCCCCTCACAGATGTTCGATAGTGAAGCATGATCAGTGTGAGCATGGTCCTTGCGACTTCGGGCTGCCACTGTGTACCAAGAAGAGTTTGGAAGCCTCCCTCTCTCCACGACTCAGGCACTTCCGTCCCTAGGCCCTGAAGCCCCATCCTGGCCAACTCAACGCCCCAAGTGGCAAGGCACACGATGCTAGAAGAGCCGTGATGAGACTACTGCGCAGAGCAGGGATTACGGTAGATCGTGGAGTACTGCAATGGAAACTAGCATGCTTGAGCAAGGTATCTGGCAGAACAGGGGATATTCTGAACTCAAGCGAACCTCGGTTCTTCTCCGTTTCCTCTGGTCTCCCACACTTGCCTTCGGCAGGCGAGCAGAAGAGGAAGCACGGCTTGCAGAAGAGAGAGTTGAGGAGCCCGGAGCGCGAGTGAGAGTTGAGGGTGTCGAGTGTCGGACTTTCACATTTCGATTCGCAGGAGCAGCGGCGACAAGCTGAGAAGCGCAGACAGCTCCAGGCTGCCTCAGCTTGCCCTTGAGCGCCTTCTTCCTGAGCTCATGTCCCGTGAGGAAATGGAGCAGAAGGCGCGAGCATCTGCTGCAGAGGCCAAAATCTGCCGAGTGATAAATCGTCGTGTCACCGCAGACAGCCCAACGTAACAAATAGGTTACATTGAATCGGTTGCCAGGCCAAGCGAGAAAGAGAGCTCCGGGAAAAGGCGAAGGCCTTCCTGGCGGCTGAAGGCATTTTGGAGAGAAGCCATTGACGTAAGACAGTTCCGATGCTTTGAAGGATTTTTGTTTCTTGTGCCTTTGAGGATACCGGCATGTGCGCGCAGCACACAAGTGGTCTCCTGTGGCGGCCTGAAGATGCCAGCCTAAAAGTCTCGAGGCCCACCTTCTCGTCTGGCAGGTGGCCTCCTATCCGCTGCATCGGGCCGTGCAGTGCAACGACCCGGAGATGGTTAGGCCATGAGAAATCGCAAAGCAACTTGCGAAAAGGGAAAGGCTCTGGGTCTGGCAGGCTTCTCCTCTGGATGGGAGCAGATGCCACCAAGTGCAATACCTTCGGGTGCCCCGGTTGCACCGAAACTCCTTGCCTATGTCAAGCGCCGGAAAGCTGAAACTCCTCAGGCAGACCCCGATGGGGCTGGCCAAGTGGCTAAATCGACGTGAATCACACGCTGAGGCCCTTCTGGAACTAAGTCAACTTCTGAAGCCAAAGAGGGAGCCGCAACTGCCTTCTGCAGGTGGTGGCGGTGCTGCAAGCACAGCAAGCACAGTGAGCCTGGGGCTGGCACAGATAAAAAATTGTACAGAAAAGCTATGAAAAGCTCATCTCACCCGGTTTTACAGTTGCAAAGAGACAGCTGAAGATGCCTTATTGGTTGCCGCGGCGCAGCAAAGCGCAAAGCAATTCAGTTGCCGAAGGTCTGCGCGCCAAATGAGCGATGCGGTGTAGGATTGTTCGTTTATGTGACCCACAGTCCCGAAAGGGCTGGTTCAGTGAGCCTTCTGTAGCAATGTAGAGAACAGAAGGTGCCCAGCAAGCTCGAAGCGGCTGTGTAAAGTCGTAATTCATGCACGTCTCTTGAGTCGGGGCTTCTTTATTCATGCCTGACATCTTCGGTCTTCATTGACGCTAAAGATGCAAAATGGTCCACCCTGGAGCCGATGACCCTGGGCCTCGATCGAGACCGTCGCAGCTTCGAGGTACTGCAAGAATCGAATGTCCGAGGCAGCAGCGACTGTGGAGCGATTGCTCCTTGGATCCATGTCGCCTCTGCTGGTGCTGAGGACCCGTGCCTTCCACAGCTGGGGTGACGAGCTCATACGAGCTCAGCGGCGCGCAGCGAATTCAAGCCCACGTCTCCACGCCTGTGCCGAGGTTCCTGGACCAGTTTGCTCTGGATCTGAAGAGCCAGCGAGCCCGGCAGCCACCCGGCGGCCCCATCCCCTGCACCACCGCAGACGTCTGCACCTCGGTGCTCCAGCCCGGCCCGCGCCTCAGAGCACAGAAGAGGGCCCTGTTCATGTCAGGTGCTGACACACCTCCAGGAGCAGATGGAGCATGCGGACAAGGCCACCTGCAGGAAAGCCCCTTTTGGCAGTTGAGGGTAAATCGTGGCCACTGTGGCAGCGCCAACCCTGGGTCGCTAGGTCGCTAGGTCGTGCAGGACTCGGCTGTCCTAGACGCACACATGCAGTGAGCATGTCGGGCTCCACAACTTCCATTCTGGCCCTTGTGGCGACGACGGCGTGAGCAGCGGCGACGACGACGAAGCAAATGGTCCATCTTTTGCGGTATAGAACACGTGTTTCCGAATCGAGTTTTCGCTTGACCCACCTGTCACCTCTCCCGCCCGAAAGTCCAAGAGAAGGGCTAACTCCTTCGCGGCTTTCCTCTGAACCTTGAGGTGTCATGATCAGCATGGTTCATATCCAATAGTACTATGGTTGGTCTCTTGTGTCTCCATGAGGAAGCATGCACTGGCAAGGCTACCTGCTACTACAGCTCCCGTGACGAGCGGGGCGAGGACTGGTAGCCATGCAGGGTTTCGAACAGATCAGCACTCGGGGGTTCCGGATTTGGAGAGCTCGGTGTGCCCTGATTTTCTCAAATCATCGTGCATCTCAAGCAGGCGAAATGCGTCAAGTCATCTGCCAAGCCGAGAGGCAAATGACGTTTTGGGCTGTGACGGCAGGATGTGTGGCTGTCTATTCCATCACCTGGGCTCGTGGACCACGCATGGCCAGTACCTCAGCTTTTGCAATCTTCTCATCGGCAAAGAATAGAAGTCTGTGTCGTAGAAGGGCAGTGAGTCGAGCGATAGCTCGGGTGCATCGCCGGCTTGGCAGGTTTCAAAGCCACCTTGAATACCCGGTGCTGATGGCCCTGGGCAGCTTGGTGCTGCTGACGCTTCTTCTCGGCTGCCTTGCCGTCGAGGCCTTCTGACGACCAATCTCAAGAGGGGCATCCAAACAAGTCACAAGAAGGGATCGAGTGTAGCTGTGCTGTTCCGGTCACGTTCGTGCAGGGGGCCGAGCTGTACTTCTCCGGCATCGTGTGAGATACAGCAGAAAAAAGGATGACAGGGAGTGTCGGGGAGCCATGCGGAGCCTCGCAGAGCCTGTTTCACCACCTTGAGCACGTCTGCTTCCCTGACCTTCTTGCTCGCAGCTCGCTTTGAGCGACTCGTCTCACCTTCTTGGGGCCTCGTGAGTTCCAAGGGGCATCGCACATCTCACAACAGACTCTCCCCGGGCCTCTACGACTCCGGAAGCCTCGGCCATGGGTACTAAGCGACACTCATACCCCGAACGGCTCTGCAACGGTCCCCAGCCAAGATGCGATGAAGCACGAAGACATAGCACCGTACTGGACTTCAGCATACTGTAGCTGCTACAGGGTAGCTGTGGTGGCCTGCTTTGCTCGGCTCTTGTCACCATGCCCTGAGCCCGGCCATGAAGGCCGCCGTTTACCATCAGAGCCACTCTTCGCTTGTCTACCGTACCAGAAGGGGCGGCCTGGACCTAGTCCCAGCGCTGGGATGCTGCGGAGCCCCAAGTCGCGATGAGCTCTCTGCGCACCCGGGGGGCAGTGCCCGAGCCTGCTGAGGCCACCAGTTAGTCCGTCCATGCGGAAGACACAGCCGAACTTTGGCCGGGGGCCTCGTCACTTGATCCCCGCTCTCAGTACCTTGCCGTGATTTTGGTTCGCAGGCCTTGCCAAGTCGGCCAGTGAGCCCTCCGTGAGCAGTCTGTCCAGGACAGCCTTTGAGATCTCTCGCAGTCGCGGTGGCTGACAGATCAGATAGTTCAACTCCTCCTCCTCCTCCTCCTCCTCCTCCTCCTCCTCCTGCGCTTGATGTAATGCTGGTGTCACTGCTAGCATGTGCAGCAGCAGCCGCAGCTACCGAGAGTGCCTGCTCGAAAGGACGTTGCCCGCAACAGTGAAGGGCTCATTCCTTCCGCGCCAGATGGGCCATCCGACGATTGCTGCCCGCCAGCGACTGATCACCTATCTCACTCACGAGCGCTTCGCATGAAAAGCCGCTGCGCTGCGCTGCAGCTTTTGGCTCTCTCCTCTCTGAGCCTCCTCTGCTCCCAGGTCGAAACCTCGCGCAGCAGAGGAAGGCCTTCCTGGCTTCCCAGAGCTGCTCCCTCTGCTCTGCTGGCCGCCTATATAATATAATATAATATAATAT